GTTGTCTCGACTTGGGAGAAGTTTTATTTTCAAGAAGATTGAAACTTACGTGTCGTCGTCTTCAGTCCTGAACTTTGTCCAGTTCTGGAGTGCTCTGTCCGCACTGCCGCTGCTCACATTCAGGTTAGCAAGCTGATCAGTGACACTGCCCAGGGTCCCATCCGCCTCTTTCATGGAATCGATACCACTGTCCAGTCTCTCGCCTTCCAAGCCAGGCTTTCCATCCTGCAGTTTGCCATCCTTGTCACTCACCTGAAACTCCCTGAAATTGACTGAAACAACAGCCATCCTGCTCATTCACAAACACAAACACTACCACTTTCTTGCTACTTTTGAGCACAGACCCCACACATACACATGCTCCTCTCCGGAATATCACTCAAAATTAAGATTAGCAAATATAGGCGGAGCCATTGTATACATTTTTTAACGTAATATAAACCCCGCCTCCCTGTGAGTCTAAAAGTGGGGATTACCACAGACGTGATTCCGGGTGCTTTTTAGACATGACTAATTATATTACTGTACTTTACTGCCCTTTTTACATCCCTTGTCTCCTTTTTCCTTTCTTCAATTCCTCATCTTGGACTCTCCTTTTGTTTTAAAAACAAAAAAATATCACCCCTAACCTTTTCAACTGGCTGCATTTCAAAATGCGAATTACTGCAGGACGGAAGGAAATGAATCCGCAACGTTTCCTGTCACATATATATATATATATATATAAAATATTCGGGGGGCTTTGTAACTTAAAATAGAAGTCCCCTCCCTAATGTGCATATTTATAATTGCAGCAGATTTTTCTAAGCAAAAAATAAATTCAGAAGATTGAGGGATTTTTTTAGCTGCAGTGGAAGTTAGGGGATGATCGAAGGACTTTTCTTGTTAAAATTACAAGAGGAAATTGAAAGGCATTAAAGAAAACTCTTTTCTCCTTTGTTTCAATTTCTTCATTGGGAGCAATTGGGGAAAACTGAAGAGTAACACAATATGTTTAGGTAAGGACATGAATAGGAAAGGATTGGAGGGATAGGGGCCAGGAGCAGGCTGGTGGGTCTAGTTTAGTCTGGGATTGTGGTAGGCATAGACTGGTTGGACTGAAGGGTCTATTTTGGTGCTCTATGACTCAATGTTGTGTTGCAGATTCCTCAATTGGAGTTGCTCAGGTAGCACACACTCTTTGTAGAATCTCAGAAATATGACTGAGCAGGAGGCCCATTTGGCCCATTGGGACAGGTCTATTATCTAGTCAGCAAAATTGTCCAGTGCCAACTCCCTGCCTTTTCCCCAAATCCCTGTACACTGTTCCTATCCAAAAACAAAATATCCTGAAATAACTGTACAGAGGCCGATATCCCATCACCAAATCACTGTTTAATTACATGTGCACAGTACATTGATTGTGACCAGCCAGCTCAGAGTCACTCCCTGAAGTGAGAAGATTCTGAATCTCCTGTTTATATCTGTTGTCCAGGGGTCCCTGATTGGCCCAGGTTAGCAACCCCAATCAAGGATGTCATAGTCAATGAGATCCACTTGGTTCCAATCACTACATGCCCAATGCCTTCTTGAATGCCCCAATTGTACCTGGCTTCACCATATATGCATGTATGTTGTAGTCCAAAGGTACAATAGAGGGTCCAATGTTCTGGTGTCATCCAATTGCTGTTACTGCCACATGTTTGAAAGATTTTCTGGCAGTCAGCCTATTACAAGCAAAGCATGGAGATACGAAAAGGAAACAGAAAGAGTTGGAGAAATCCAGCAGATACTGCAGTATCTGAGGAAAGAGTGACAGCAAATAACATTTCATAAGTGTGTTATAGCAAGGTGTAGAGCTGGATGAACACAGCAGGCCAAGTAGCATCAGAGGAGCAGGAAGGCTGACGTTTCAGGTCTAGACCCCACTCCTCTGATGCTGCTTGGTCTGCTGTGTTCATCCAGCTCTACACCTTGCTATCTCAGATTCTCCAGCATCTGCAGTTCCTACTAAGTGTGTTAACCTGTTTGGCTACAATGATGAACACATGTTCATTACCCAGCAAGTCCTGGGCTGGGACTTGAACCCTAGCAAGATCGGGATGCAATCCACTCATCTACGAGAGCTGCCAAGCCATGGGCACCCATTTCCACTCACATAACTAACAGCACAGTTTGAGACCATTCACCTCTGTCAAAGGAAAAGTCAGCAAAATGACACAAACTCGTTGCAATTGCAGGTCTATTCATTGAATTTAAATTCTAGCGACTGCTATAGTACGATTTGACCCTGTGAACCCAACAGCAGACACCTGCCCCCTCCCCACCTCCTCTCCCTGGATTATCAGTCCAGTGACCTTACCTAGACCTTACCCAAGCCGCACCCCAGTGTAAGAAGTCATTCTGCTTAATAACTAGGAGCGGAAATCCTGGCTGCTTTTTATTGTCCCTGTTCCATCACAGCAATCCCTGCCCCCTGTTCAATATGTCATTCAGCAGAGATCAGGGACTTCCTTGTTGGGATCTGCCCAGGCTCCAGCATCAGTACTGGTTTCCCCTCCTCACACCCATCATCACTCAGCAAGGAAACATGCAAAGTTAGAATGAGCTTGGTGTTTCATAAGCTATGAGTCAAGCACACGGGCTGGGAACCTGATCCGGGAGCTTCCCTGCATACAATTAACCTGCTGACCGTGTCATTCACAAGTTACAAGTTGGAATGTAATCGAGGTGTTCTAAACATAAATCAAAGTTATATATAGAGGAAGTGAGTGAGTGTGTGCAGTGCAACAAGTTCCAGCTGTGGCTCAGTAGAAAACACTCCCACGACCCAATTGTTGGGTTCCAGGCATTTAACCCTCTCCAGGACTTAAGCGCAAACACTGCAATGCAGAACTGAGACAGTGATAGCGGAAGTTTTGCCTTTCACACGAAATGTTAAACAGCAGTCCTACCTCCTCCCACAGGTAGTGGTAAAAGATCCTTTAAGGTGAGAGGAGAGAGATCTGAAAAAGACATGAGGGTTTTTTTTTTACACAGAGAGTGGTTCATTTGTGGAATGAACTTCCAGATGAAGTGGGGAATGCGGGTACAGTTACAATGTTTAAAAGACATTTAGATAAGTACATGAATAGGAAAGGTTTGGAGGGATATGGGCCAGGAGCAGGCAGGTGGGACTAGTTTAGTTTGGGATTATATTCAGAATGGACTGGTTGGACCAAAGGGTCAGTTTCTGTGCTGTATGACTTTATAACTATTTCAAAGAGAGTTTGGGATTATAAAAACTGAAAGACCTGTAAATGAGAAACAAAAACAGAAATTGCTGAGATAACAAGGTGTAGAGCTGGATGAACACAGCAGGCCAAGCAGCATCAGAGGAGCAGGAAGGCTGACGTTTCGGGCATAGACCCCTCTAAGCTTTGGCCAGGACTCTGGGCCAGGGAAATTTATCTCTCCTAGCACGGAAACAGATCCTTCGGTCCAACCAGTCCATGCCAGACATAATCCCAAACTCAAAAACAAAAACAAAAATTGCTGGAAAAGCTCAGCAGGTCTGGTAGCATCTATGGAGAGAAATCAGAGTTAACATTTTAAGGAAGTTCTGATGAAGGGTCACTCAACCTGAAGTGTTTACTCTGATTTCTCTCCATAGATGCTACCAGACCTGCTGCGCTTTTCCAGCAACTTTTGTTTTTGTTTTTGAGTTTGGCATGGACTGGTTGGACCGAAGGGTCTGTTTCCATGCTGTAAGACTCGATGAGAGATAAATTTCCCTGGCCGAGTCCCGGCCAAAGCTTGTTCCCCAACCACCATTCCTGCAAACAGATTATTTGGATTGTTGTGATGTTGCCGTCTGTGGGATCTTACTATGTGCAATGTGGACACAACAACCCCTACGTTCTAAGAGTGGCCAAAAGCATTCATTCAGTAAGACAGGTTTCTAGTCAAAGCTTGTCATCTTGTACTATCAGGACAAGGGCAAGAATGCCAAATTTCACAAACCATATTATGTGAAGAAAGAGTGGTGACTTGTTGGCAAGTGGTCTTTTACTGGCTGAGGCATTGCTGTGGAGAAAGCAATTGGAGATTCAAGGCCCTGCAAGCTGGTAATTAAAAAAACAAATGCACAAGGTCTGAACACATTCCTTTTGATTGCAGAGAACTGATTCCTTCATATAAATGCAAGTGTATTCCAGTGTGTGTAGATGAGCCACTTTATGGATTCAACCAATTATCTCAAAGCGATTGCTAGTGAGGTTATTGGCACAGTCAGGATTATTCAGCAAATGTTATTAAATAGCAGAAACACTTCTAACAGTAGATGATTTGTGTTGGGTTTTGCAAACACTGGCTATAGTTATTGTAAAGTGCTTTTACTGTGTGAAAAATCATAGAATCCCTACAATGTAGAAGCAGGCCATTCAGCCCACTGAGTCCACACCGACCCCCCGAAGAGCATTCCACCCAGACCCACCCCTACCCTATCCTTGCAATTCCCACCCTGGGCACTATGGGCAATTTAGCATGGCCAAACCATCCAACTGCACATCTTTGGACTGTGAGAGGAAACCGGAGCACCTCGCAGAAACCCACGCAGACACAGGGAGAATGTGCAAACTCTACACAGACAGTCACCTGAGGGTGGAATCGAACCCGGGTCCCTGGCGCTGTGAAGCAGCAGTGCTAACCACTGAGCCCCGCACCACTGAAAAGTTTGAACCTGCTGTATGATGGACAGGTACAAAGAGACCAGCATGGCTCGAGCCTGCCTTCAATCTTTGTTCTCTGCAGCTATGTGATTAAACATTTCCTCAGCCTATCCCCTACCAAAGCTACTTAATCTACATGAAAACCTCAGGCCTAATAAAGAGGGAAAATATACAGTAGGAATATCCTCTCTGCCCCTTCACCCTGAGGTGATAAAAAGCAATGTAGAATCCCTCCAGTGTGGAAGGAGGCCATTTGGTCCATGAAGTCTGCACTGACCCTCTGAAGAGTCTTCCACATCGCATGGGTAACCCACCTAGCCTGCACATCCCCATGGAGTAATTTAGCATGGCCAATTCGCCCTAACCTGTACATCTTTGCACTGTGGGAGGAAACTGGAGCACCTGGAGGAAACCCACATGGACACAGGGAGAATGTACAAACTCCACACAGAGGCTGGAATCAAACCTGGGTCCCTGGCCCTGTGATGCAACTATGCTAACCACTGAGCCACTACGACATCTATGCAGTTTAGGAGATCACAAAGGCATGAGTTAGCTGTTAATCCACTGCTGCTCTTATATGCTGCACCAGAAAGAGTGGTTGCCCTGATGGGAGATGGTTGCTTGGTTAGAATATCACTCGACTAATAATCTCGTGGCCTATGCAATACACTTAAGGACTGGATTCAAATCCCACTAGGGGTATCTGATGGAGGTTAAATTCAATTAATAACATCTGGAATTGAAAATTATTCTCAACAATGGTGCCTAATAACTACCACTTTCTGTTGTCTAAAAATCTGTGCCCCTTTAAGGAAGGATATCTGTTGTTCTTACATGGTCTGGCCTACATGTGACTCCATGCTCACAGCAATGCGGTTTGCTCTGAAATGACTGAGTAAGAAACTAGTTCAAAGGCAATTAGGGAAGGACAA